CGAAAGCCCTTCTCTAAATCCGTAGTGGAAGTCTGGGATTATATCACTGATTCGAGGCTTAAGGCGCTTTAATAAAGGCTTTTCGAAAACCTTTGACAGCACTGGTAAAATACTTATAGGTCTATAAAAAGTCACTTCCGTGGCAGGTTTTCCTGTTGCCGTTATTTGGGCGTACTTCCATTGACTTCTCCAGTGACTATACTTTGCCGAAATTAAAAATAAACCTTTCAGCCAAACATTTCCGAAACAGAAGCGAATATTCATAAAAAAAAACATTTATTTTTTCTCAGTCCATAACGTTAACATTTTTACTGAAACAAAAGATGCAGTGCAAAAACGGGGAAAAATAAAAGACAAAAAAGAAAAAGGATAAAAAAGAAGAAAAAAGAGCAGAAAGAAGAATAAAACGAAAATGACGAAAGAAAAAGGGAAACGCGTCGTACGCGTTTGGTGATGTTTCTGTCCACCGTGCGCCCCGCCCCACCCCGCCCCGCCCCGACCGTGCCGGCGCGCGCGTCCAAAATACACGCGCCACGTGGCCGCGCGTCCTGCTCACGCGCGCGCCTTCTTCTTCTAGGTCGTTGAGCCATTTTGGAGCGACAAAAGGGGTTGCCGCCGTCGGCCACACGGAGGCACTGTCTCTGTGGACTCTAGGAAGAAACACGGGAAAGTTTTATGGTACAGTGTATGTTGTTGGTAGCTCAAGACGCTTTTCATGAATGTTGTTTTGTCATCCATATCAATTCGGAAATTGAATATTGTAACACTTTCTCATGTAGTAAACGTACAGTACTCCAATTATCCGAACTATCCGAAACGATTTGGGGAGAAAAATTACGAGTAATAAATATAATACAAATACATTTTATAAATAATTTGATTTGTCTATAAATGAATTCCCCATTCCCGACTAACCACTCCATCTTATACCTGAGGACTTCTGTCCACGTTTGAGCTTTAGCTGCTGGTATAACTACTGAAGTTACTTAATCCCTTGCCTCACCAAGCATTACGTCGTCGCTGATAACCTATATCGTTGCAGATCGTACTTCCGGTACCAGTGTAGCTCATAATCTAACGGTTCGTGAACTGATTTGGGCGATAGGGGGCTAACTAATATTGTGTCTTTAATTTTTATCAAATGGCGCTTACCTCTGTAGCCCGAAGAGCAGCTGCGTTGTAATATACCTTTCTCACACTAATTGACCAGTTTGTTTATTTCATGATCCAGTGGAGTCAGCGGCTACGGCCATTTTCCCCGCAAGTGTAGTGCACGTAATATATCTTAAAGGTGGTGGTATTTCTCACTGGTTAAACTGTGAGATCCGTCGCTGACATACACGTTTGCTTGCTGTGCGTTTCCCCTACCAGCTATCTCCGTCAGCGGGGCCCCGCCCCAGGCGGGACACGTTCTTAACACCCGACAGGTATCCTGACTGATGTGGAAGTGTAGACCATTTAAGGGTAAATAAGGGACCATATTGTTTGATAAGATTCGACTCCGGCATTTTTTAATTTTTTTTATTCCTAATTTGTTGTGTCTCCGTAGACGCAACGCGTCTCTAAAGCTTTGATGGGCATTGAGCTGCTGGAGTAATCCTTCGTTAAGTTTATCCTTTGTCAGGTCTCGTCACGTCGCAGTCAGACAGTGCCTTTTATCCCTTCGGTCAGGGATTCGGCGCAGTTCCCATACGGTCACCCACTTAGGTATCCGCGGTGTCTCGAATTGCTTCACTTTTGTGATTTTACGGAGCGTAGTTGATCAATTCGGATAACGACGCCGGCATTTGCCTGGTATTAGTCGGAGAAACCACGAAAACCAAACACCATCGATCAGAGCAGTGAGTAGCTAAAATTCTCCTCCAGGCAGAAACTAAATTCTACCCGGTACCCATTCTAATTCCTCCGGTCAGAGGCAGCAGTGGCAACAGTAACGTTGCAGTGAGCTATCTCAGCCCTAACTTACCGGATATTAATTATTGGAGTTAAGAGAAGAATTTTGGTTCAGGAGTGACACATGATGTTGTGGAAATGCATATCGTGCCACAACATAACTGAAACTTCCATGCCCTATGCTGCTTTTGAATCCATAATATTGAATGTGAAGCGTACCTGGGCGCAAATGCGTCCAGAGTTTTGTTTTGTTTTGTTTTGTTTCGCGAATCGGCCATTATGGAGCCTCACGATACATGCATCCCAACGCGGCCCAGACTTGATTATCGGGGTAGGTGCACGTTACTTTCTTTTATACCCCATGGTTGGTAGCCCCGAGGGGTATGATAAAATTCTGATGATGATGATGATGATGATGATGATAAATGATAAAATAAACACATATCAACATACACAGTCACTCACAACACAACCATGCACGAGGCGGAACTCAAACCTGCGATCCTTTGGTCCGAGATCGCCCCTGTAATACTGCCCTAGCGCTGTCAGCCATCGAATAGACAAAATGTGTTTTTATTTGCAAATTTTAATTTCTTTACAGTTTTCTGTACTTCATGTTTGTAAAACTTAATAGCATGAATTCACGTTATTTTTTAGTCGGGCGTTTTTTAATATAATTTCTAAATTTTATCCAATCATCCGAACATCCGCAGATCCGATCCGGCTCAATTCGTTTTTTATTTCTTATGACTGGAGTTATACTTTATTCATAGGAACATTATGGATACTATGTTTTGTTTCAATCATCAATTTCAAGAATTTCTGTCATCTTGTGCCATTAATGCAGCCTAACCATAACTGAAACGTATTTTTGAGGAGATATTGGCTACCACCAAATTTCACTCAGTATTTGCATGCCTCAACGGATTTGCCTTTTGCCTAATGTGATTCTAATGCATTTAAATTACCAAAAAATGTGTATAATTTCGTAATGATAAATACTACTAGTTTTCCAAAAATGTGTGTAGTCTCTTACGTTTACCAAAAAACCCTTGAATTTTTAAATGGAAATTCATTTGTAATTCGTCGTAATGGGTATAGTGAGAAAATTAAGTTGAATTCATCATTAAAAATTAAATTTACAATGTAATAAAATCCAAGATCATCAGTATTCTTAAGTTTGTCAAAAGTAAAATACCGTGTCTTTGCCGTAACACTCCAACAAGTTGAATGAAGTTTTCATCGAAAGATAACTTTTTGTGTGTTACTCATTTTATTTTCAGAGAAAATTTTTTTATTGCATGCATATTTCTTACTTACTTGTACAAATACATACCTTCAATTAATTCATTGTTGTTAAACTATTTCATTTTGAAATAAAAAATAACCGCAATGCAAATATAACTTGTCATTTATTTTGATATTTTCTAAATTACGTAAAACAGTTAGTTGTTTTACGAAACAACCCGTCATATTCAGTGATATGTTGAATTGGAACAGTTTATAATAATCAATTGGCAAAGATTAAGCAATATAAAGTGGATGCAGTTTGAATATTTCTTTCTCACTTCTCCCCTCCTCTTTCCAACAACTACAAAAAATCGTTCATCTTTCATTTTCATTCGAATAATGATCACAACCCAGCACCAAACATTGACACATGGTGCATTGAAGTCAAACTCTGTCATTGGCTCGCTACGCGGATATATTTACTATGCGCCTCCAAAAACGATTTACTTTCCATCTAGAGCTCAAGTGAATCGAACCCTCCATCAAATCCAACTTTCCGCGCGACAATTTCTGCCGTGTCACACCACACAGTATCTGCAGTAACGCTAATATTTCATTGGCACTTTAAATCGGGTACTTTTGTGATCTTCTTTGTACTCCATTCTGTGGAATCAAAATATCATGAACATTTTGCATACCCAGTAGAGCATTAAAAGGGGGAAGGAGGTGGCTCTTCGGGCTGCCCCACCTCCCGAAGCCAGACTCGTATTCACTTATATAGTTTTTAAAACGTCATATATCTTTAAAAAAAAAAGCAAAAGAACGGCTACACATTACACCTATACGTCAATAGAAAAGTTTGGTTGCTGTGTATACCTATTGATAAAATTACTTCAGACAAATGAAAATTGGAAAATTGCTCAACGAATTTACTATTATGATTAATTTTTACAAATATCAATTAAAATAAAACTGGCCTTAAAAACATAAAGCAATCATACACTTTTGAATTATTCACTGAAATAACATCCTACTGAGAGCTGTACTGTAACTCTGAATTGTATAAGCACGTGTCTCGTTTACATCTATTGCTTGTGAGTATGTTGAACAAAAATCAGAAGATAGAAAATGTCGCGCGTCGATACGAGTGATTGTGAGTTCGCAGTGATTCGGACGTCCCATGGGACTGATCCCGCTCATGCCTCGTCTTCAGAGGAGTGCGCCACGACCTGAACGCATCGAAAGCTCTGGAGGAACTGTGAAGTGCTGCGAGATGAAGAGCAGCGCGCTGCGCGATATCTTCTCAAGGGCATTCAATGCCATGACCCTGACAAACGTGTTATGAAAAGAATAAAGATCGCGTCAAAGAAACCGTCTACATTTTTGATATGCATAGCACAGATGACATGTTCTGGCCTTATGATCGTATCTGCCTAAAATGTAGTCTTACGATATACTACATTTCCTAATAAATCGTCAATCGGAAATTCGAAAGTATTCTTATGACCATCGCCCAATAATTTTAATAGATATGAAACTATTGAAATTTCTTTCTATATTAATTTATATTTGTATTAATAATAAAGAATTTTCTTCTCTCACGGCTAGAAGCATTTGATTCTAATTTTTTAAAGATAAAAAAAGTTGTAGGTGAGACTCACCCCGCTTATTTGTAATGAGACATAAAATGTATTTCAGAAATACGAATCCAACATAACAAGCGTAATACTTACTTTTGAGTCGTTAACAGCGAACCTAGCGGTCATATAGTTAAACGTAACGTCCGTAGATGCGCATAGGAGGTTCTTTCTTTGAAATGTTTTGACTCACGTGATGTTTGGGAGAAGAGATATCTTACCATTGGTAATCCTTGGTGCGTCGTTTTAAGTATTATTATAGTCACTGCGTACTGCTGCGCAGTCGAGTTTTGGAGGTGTAGGGGTGTTGTGGTTGGGAATTGGATGGTGGTTCTTACGGATGGGGCAGTGACACAAAGAAGAGTTTGTTCTCTTGTCGTACATTGCGTTGAAACTGTGGAGATGGTTGAGAAGATCTTAGAAGAAGTGCAAGGAGCGGAGGCTGAGTGTTGTAAGTACAAACAAAGCGGAATGAATTATTTAAAGCCGCCAGTTCTCTTTGTCGTTGTGCTTTTATTCGACTATTTATGATGGGTCGTTGCTATTTATTTCAAAGTTAGTGTTCGCGTTACTATTTTATTGTGTTGATTAATATCTTTTGCATACACTTATTAGTTTCGACTGGCATTTAATCGGCATTATACGATGTAACGTAGCTTGTGTATTTACATGTAGTTGTTGCGTCAGAATGAAATTTTTACCGATTGTGCTTGTTATGGACTAAATTGTGACTTAAGTTCTTTCTTACACGGTGCGGTAATTGAAAAAAAAAGACATTGCTTTAAAATACTATTTTTTTTTTAATTTATAAGAAAAAATATGGGAGTGATGTGGGAGTAAAGAGTCGTGTTTTGCGATAGGTGAAGTTTTGTCTGCCCTTCACGACAAAACGAACAGTGATGTTCAGCAGAGGAAGGAGGAGGCCAGGAGGAAACGCCGAAAGAAGAAGCGTTGCGGTTCAAGCCTCGTATCATCTTGTTTCCAAGGTAAGTGGTGTGGTGCGATGCTTATTGTCTCATACGAACAACTGCAAATGTTTTGAAGTAGTTTACGATATGAAATTTTTAGGTTGTGCTTCTTTTTAGTTCGAAAGTTTGAGTATTCATTTCATAAAAATTTGTGAATTCATATTTTTGTTAGTGTAATTTAATGCAATTGATTATTCATGTGATTAAGGTCACTTTTTGTAATATTGGTAAGGATTGCTTAGTATCTTGCTAAACTATTTTCGGTGCTATCCAACATACTTTCAACAATAAATATGTAATGTTTCCATCACGTATGTGTAGTACATGCTGTTTGATCCTTGTTTAATCTATGCCCCTCAAGAGTACGTACTGAGAACTTAATCTGTCATATAAATTCTGACAATATTGTGAATGACTTTTCTTGAAAAGTGGTAAATTTGTTCTTCAGAATTTTATTTGTCTTAAGATCAAATTATATAATGACTATCACAGCATGTAATTGTTTTTTAAAACTAGAAATTTAGTTTGTTTTCATGAATGCAGGCTATTTAATTATTCTTTTGTGAAGGAGTTAGCTTGTTTTATAGAAGTGTATTATCTCCTGAGTGTATTCACCTTTGTAATAGTTATAGTCATTTACTGTCTTATTATTTTATTATTCGGGTCATTTATATTTTTAGCTTTTATGTTATACTTAATACATTGGCATTTAAAATTTTTCTCCTTAATGTCCTTTAAGCCTTTCTTTAGTCTTTAAGAGAGTAGAGGCTGAAGTTTTAAGAAATGCTCATAAAAATTTTATTCCTTTAAATTTTGAGAAATCATGCTTTCTTTTGATGTAGTACTTCTTTGTGTACAGTGCCATGCATTTTATTGCATCATGTACATGATAAATGCTTAATAAAGTTCTCATCAGAAAGTGTGAAGTTCAAAAATAAATATTCCTTAAAGCCTGTTGACAAAATTTAGTATTTCATTATGATTATTATTTATTTCATTTACCAATACATTTCTTTTGGATAGTTCATTCTGTATTGGGATACCTCTGCCTAACTTGAATTTTATAGTAGATTATTGAGTTTGAAAAATTTCCCTTCACTTTTGAATTGAACTTCAGTTTATAAAAGACAAACTTGTTTCAGTTAATGCTTTTTGTGGCTAGGAATACAAAAAATTAACCAGTAATATGTTTCTTCTTTCTAGATTTGTACAGATTAACAGGAGAAGTATTGGGTGAAGGTGCTTATGCTTCTGTACAGACATGTATTAATATCTGGACTGATTTGGAATATGCTGTAAAAATAATTGAAAAAATTCCGGGCCATAGTCGCAGCCGTGTTTTTAAGGAGGTGGAAACCTTTCATCACTGTCAGGGCCATCCAAACATTATCCAGCTAATAGAATTTTTTGAAGATGATGCAAGGTAAGAATATGGTGTGGTGATACTGTCAGTGTTTCAATACAGAATGATTTTAGATGTCTATTTCTTATGTTTTATTGGTCGTAAGTTCATTGGGTGTATTTTATTAAATTTCTTCATTTTCTTCATTCTAGGTTCTATCTAGTGTTTGAAAAAGTTAATGGAGGACCCTTACTTACTCGTATTCAAGAACAAAATAGTTTCACTGAGAAGGAAGCAAGTCAAATAATCAGGGATCTTGCAAGTGCTTTGAATTATTTACACACAAAAGGTGAGATCTCAGCCTCAATATGTTATAATTTATGTGAATATTTTTGAAATAATTCAGTTATTTCATTTTATTTAAGTTGCAAAGAATATTATTAAATTTGTTCTCTCATTTCTAGGTATTGCACATAGAGACTTGAAACCTGAAAACATACTCTGTGTGTATCCTGACAAGCTGAGTCCAGTGAAGATATGTGACTTTGACCTCAGTTCTGGGATAAAGTTTAATGCCAACCTCACTTCGCCACTAGCTACACCGCAGCTGCTTACTCCTGTAAGAATTTTTACTTTATCAAATTACTTACCTTTTTTCTGTCCTTTTTTCATATTTTGCAAAGAATTGTATAAAATACTTGGGAGGAAATATAGATATTTTTTTTATTAGCTAAGAAAAATTCATATATTGGCATTGGCATGTACCATTATGTTATACAGTCTGGTTTAGAGTTCAAAATTGAGTAAATTTTATGTTTTATTGATTCCATTTTCATTTATGGTTCTTCCTTTTCTCTTTGTAGGTTGGAAGTGCGGAATTCATGGCTCCTGAAGTGGTCGAAGCGTTTGTTGGAGAGACAAGTTGGTACGACAAGCGATGTGATCTTTGGTCTTTGGGGGTTATCATGTATATTCTCTTGTGTGGTTACCCGCCGTTTTATGGAAGTTGTGGATCTGATTGTGGATGGGAGAGAGGAGAAAACTGCCATGCTTGCCAGGTAGGTTGTTTAATTAAATTTTGAATTCACGTTGTATCAGCATCTGGTAACTTTCTAGAAGTGTTGCGTTGCAAAAGTATTCAGCATGCCAATTAATACAGAGGTTTGTACCAGGAAACTTGAATTTTATATTTATTTACAAATAGAAACCATTTTTGGATGTTCTTTGCCTGCCTGTACCAGCAAAATTTTGCACAAACCTTCAACATTTTTATTAGTAATTATAGTATCAAATTCAGAAGGTGTAATCTCTGTTTTTCCTAGTACAAAAAACAAATTTTAAATTTTTTATTTCTTAGCACAACAAACATGTGTAATACATTTCATTGTTTTGTGTTTTGCCAGGAATTGCTGTTCACTTGCATCCAGGAAGGTTGCTATGATTTCCCAGAGAGAGAATGGGCTGCCATATCAGAAGATGCCAAGGATGTTATTCGTAAACTCTTAGTTAAGGATGCAAGCCGAAGGCTTTCAGCTGGAGATATCTTAAATCATCCATGGATGTGCCCTCATTCGTCTACGTCATCTGTGGTTAGCCGCTCTCTTGGCACCCCGCATAACATTAGAAGGTAACTTTTACTACAGATATTTCTTCTGCTCAAATAAATTTTTCATAGTTGCAAGAGTATTGAAAGGGGTTGATTTGTTTGGAACTACTGTTGTTATTTCAAAATCTTTAATTTGTGTAGTACGTTTTTAACATGTAGTGTCTTTCTTACAGAAATAATAGTGCAAGGGAGTTATCAGCTTTTGCAGAAAGTGCAATGGTGGTAAACCGTGTTGTGCTGCAGCATTTCAGTATGAATTTGGACTTTCTGAGAGAGAGTAATGTAGCAGCAAACCCAGAAGGTGAGCAGAACTTCCTGGCAAATTCCTGTGGAAATAATCAAGAAGTCTGTGGGACTGACATCTTCCTCAATGGCACTGATCCTGAAGGTGATGATAAAACCACAAAGCTCTTTGGGTTATCACCTCCAAGTGAGTCTCATCTCATTCAACGGCGCAAAGCTCGTAGTTTGAACTGTCACCCGGAACCTGTTGCAATCATTGCAGCATCTCCTAGTGGCTGATAATTGTTGCCCACAATTTTGTACCTGATTATTGTTTAGTCTTTATTGTTCTCATCAGGTAGGCTATTCTCTTTTATGAGATTGCCTGTTTCACGAAGGTGATATCTTTCATTCATGTTCCTGTGCAAGGCATTTGGAATGCCTTGTGACAAAAATTGTTTCATTAGTTTTAATTTTATGTAGTAATCTTTCTGTGTTGATAATATGGACATGATGAGAGGGTGTCTTTTGGTATGAGATACAATGAAAAATTGTGTTTTAGAGACCACTGGTCTTAACAGCACTGTCTTCACAGCAAAAAAAATACTATTTGCTGTTAGTGGTCCATCTTTACAAATCAAGTAGTGAATATTTTCTTCTCAGAAAGTTTTTTTTTTAAACATAATTATGATGTCCAATTGTACATTGTTCTTGAAAAAGGATGCAGTCTTCAGCATCCTTATACACTTATATTTAATTGTATCACATGAATTATTCATGAAATGTTTGTAATTGACTTACCAACTACTAATAGTAGTTGTTTTAATATAAATCATTGAGTGTTTTCAGAGAAGCTAAAATTCTGTCAGCCCATAGGAATTTGCATTACAGAATAATTAAATTTTTTTTTTGAGAAGAAAACTAATGGTTATAATGAGAAAAAAACATTAGTGAATTTGTCTATAGTTTCTAAAGTTAACGCTTCTGAATTACATTAATAGAATAAAACAGACTTGCACAGTAATTCAGAATGAATATAGTGAATACTATTTGTTGTTCTTTAGATACTAATGATTTGTAAAGGAGAAATACCTTTATAAATAACTCAGGGTTGTAGACACATATTTCACATTAACCTCTTACTTGATTTTTTGTATCTTATGACTCAGGGCATGGTGAGATGTAATAAGGATTTTGTGTGTTTTGGCCCCAAGGGCCTAAATTAAATGTTTCTTGAACACTTTTGTTCAAAGATTGTTTAAGTCTCCTGTATTATCAGGTTTTGTGATGACGGCTTTCTCATCATGAATCCATAACAAAGTTGTGAAAGGAGACATGGAAAGAAAGCATCATTTTGTGGAATGCTGTTTCATGTCATCTTGTGTAAATATGTAAAATAATAGTTTATTACTTTCATGAATGAATGATCTGAGAAAAAGAGTTTTTGTAATTTCTAGTAATAATGAGAATGTAGCTGTAATGAATGACTGAGAACATACTTAAAATTATTCTGTGATCTTTTTCATTTGTAAGAGTTCGTTAAAAGTCATTTTCTTTTTGATTGTGCAGCATTCTTTGCATTTGGAAAGTCCATTACAATACGGTTCCTTGGTGTAGCAAAACGCCAAGGTAAATGGCACAAGATTTGTTTATTTATTTTGTTGTCTTTTTTGTATAACTGTTTTACTGGTCATAAATTTCTAGTTCTCGATTAATTTTTGTGTTTTCATCTTGCTAAAACAGTAGGTAGTGTGAGAAAAATATAAAATCTAACATACACACTGGCACCAATGTAACAATAAAGTGGTAAAATGTAGGAGAAGTGATAGATTCGTTTCATGGTACTGTCTAGAAATTAGAAAAGGAATTTTTACCAACTTAATCTTCAATGTAAGAGATTACAATTAAAAATATACAAATCTGTAAAGTAAAGCTAAAGGATTGTACATATCTGGCTCACAGTTCCCTCAATTTTTAACACAACAGTAGTGTATTTTATAACATTTCTGTACCACTTATCTGTCTAGTCCTGTACATTTGATTTATATTTTACTTGAGGTGACTTATTAACAGAACATTAGGTCAAAAATTCACTCTAATTGCATTCGTGCTTGAAAATACTGTACTGTTTCAGGCAAGAGTTATCATTTGTTTATAAACATCTACATCAAAATGTTTTAATAGTGTTCATATGTAATTTTTATATGTTAGGTTTACCTTGTAAAAGTGCTAATTCAATGCTTCCAGTCTGTAATAATAGTGTAAATGTGCGATAGTTTGTAAAGAATGCAAAATTACTAGCATTGAGTGTGCTGATGTCTGCCAAAGCAAGTTCGTCAGCAGATGAGGGTTACATGAAGTGCAGTTTTACATTTGATGACAGTATTAGATGTAAGTTACTGTGGTGTGTCCAGTGCCAAACGTCCAGTGCTGATGTGTGATAGTCATATTTGCCAGGTGTGTGATAAGTATGAAAAACGCTTGTAGTTTAGATTTTTGTTTAAGAGATTTAATTCAAAAAATATTTGTTTTCTTACTTTGCAAAAGAAGAATGAACTCTTTAATCTTGGTGGCTCAAATGTATGAACATTTTAAAAGGAATTAATAGTTTTGGTTTCTCCTCATTATTATTTTTTTCTTTCAATTGATTCTGAATCAAATTTCATTCACATTTTCAGTATTATCTTGCATCTGAAATTTTTGTTTTTGAGCAAGCCACCTTAGTGAATGACTGGTAAATTTAGGTTTACATTATGTTAAAATTATTTTCTTTTGAATCCATTGTGAATGGATAGAAATTTAAATGAAACCTGCCATGGAGTAATATATTGTTGCTCATTATGTAGGTTTAGTGATTCAATTCTGTAGGGTTATACTTGAATGATGAGCAATTAATATGTACAATCTGATCAAGATGTAATATTAGTCTGCCATAGGGCATAAGTTTAAATCCATCTTGTTGAATTATTACCCTCCATATATATGGTGCACATCAAGATTCATGAGAAGAATTAATCTGGTTGGTCTAGGAATGGGTAATTTGTAGAATAATTACTTTAGGAGCTGTAGAACTGATAATAGTTCAGAAATTCACATAAGTTGATGTGATTGCAGCTGATGTAAAGAAGAAAATTGTGAATTGTAGGTCCAGGAATGATGCTTGATCAATCCACAGTAGTTGAAGTATTCAATATTGTGTAAAAATGTTCCTCTCACAGAAAATTTGCAATAATAATTCATACTTGTTTGCATGATAGTGTGTGGATTGGTGTTGTTCATTACTTCTCCAAGATTGTATTTATAATTTTCAGGGGAGAGAAACTGAGAAATGTTCATTGTAATATCCCCTTGTACTTTGTTCATACTGAGTCAGACTGAAATGTCATAAACTTTTTGAGAAGAAATTTGATTGTCATTCACTTTCTTTTTTATAAAACAATGTGAAAGACAAAAAAAAAGTTTCTTTTAATATAAGCAAGCACTTAACAGTGTATGACAATCTCCTAATCAATATTTCAAGCCCAGGAAATTGTATCTTTGCAATAATTATTGTACACAATCTACATTTAAATTTTGAATCTGCATTAAATGTAAAAAATTAAAAATTTTATTTCATTAGGCACTAAGAAACCACATGTGCAAATTGCAGAAACCTTATGTTGTGTAAAATACAATTATTCTCTTGGAGACATAGGAAACAAAATGTGTCATGAGAGAATGCCTTTTCTTCTGTAGTGAAAGATGCATAAAATTAATAAGTTTGTGTACTTTTTTATGTTAACATTTAATGTCATTTCTCGAAGAATTGAGAAGTGAGGTTTGTGAAATGATGCCTCTGGTTTCCTTAGTGCAAGACTTTGTGAAAACTAAATTTCAATGGATCAACAGATATTTCATTAGAAGTTTTTGTCCTGTTACTTTTATATCTCTACATCACTTAATTGTATGAAAAGTATGTTGTTTCTCCATTGAAAAAAGAGGCACTGTATCTGTGATATCAAAACTCACACGTGAAATAAACAATTTTTTTTAGAATGAAACTTATCTTTTTATCCAATTTTAATTCCTGATGAGCCTTCCTGCTTTTAACATTTTTCTTCATAAGAGAAAGTATTGTGATTGTGTGCTGGAAAATGATGAATTTTCAAAAGAAAGTTTTATTGCTGGGTTCTGGTAATAAAAAACCCAGATAAATCCTGTTCCTCTGTATAGTAAATGACTTCCTCTAGCACATTGTGTATTCAGAATATGTATTACAGGTCCTCGATTCTAAACAATCAATTCAAAATGTCTATGTGGTCAATGATAGTTCCAAGATCATGCAGTTGATATTCTCCAAAATTGATATTCTGTGATTGAGTTCTGGAAATCGAGGCCCTGCAGGTGTTCTTTACATAGTCTCAATAATAACACCAAATGTTTTGAATGTTTTATTATAGCATAAAGGACATTTAAGAATGGTGAAGGTCTCATGTTCCCCCAATGAAATCTGATTTAAAGGCAGAACATGAAATGACACCATGTACAATTTTTTGAAAATATTAGTAGTTTGTGCGTGAAATATACACAATATTTTCCCTCGAAAACTGCTTCTAATTTTTTCCTTTGATGCTATTCCCAGTTTTGGGGAACTTAGTTTTTGAAAATTGCAAAAAGGAATATTGAAGATAGAGATTTTTGTCTTAAATCTCTTCTAAAACAAAAAAAAGTGCTGTACTATTTTTTGAAAAAGAGTTGTTTGTACAATTTCTGTTTGCCAAACGAGATGATCGTCAAAAAACATTCCTTAATAAGTATAAGATTTGGATAGTCGGCCCCGTGGCGCAGACGGTTGGTCTAGCCATCGTCTGTGCCGAGGAGGCTGCAGGTTTGAGTCCTGCTTAGACATGGTCATATTTGTGATTGTCCCTTCACCTATCGTCATCAACCTATCATCTCATAATTCACACCTCAAGACGTAACAACCTTGTTGTAATCCAAGGATACAGCTGAAAAGCTGATCCTGGAAGGATTACACACGTTAATTGTGTAGCATGGTCAGTAAATGGCCTGTACACCAATAATAATAATAATAATAATAATAATAATAAAAATAATTATTGATTTGCAAATTTGATTTTGATTTGCAAACAGCACAGAATTTACTCGAAGAAGCATACAAAGTATTCAAACCTGTTTGCAATCACTATCATGATTTGCAAGATAATTCAATAGAATTATCTCAAGTCTGGAAAGTGGAAGTGAAATTGAGCAACAATGAGCGAAGCAAACCAAATGACATTGTGATGAAGTTTGCGTGGATAAACAACTCGCTGACGAAATATCTTTGTTTACAAAGATTCGAACTTCATGCATGTCGGAGCTAGAAAGTTTTGTGCCTGGGAAAATGCTAAAACATAGCACGCCTGCCTCCCCCTAGTAAAAAAAAAATGAGAAAATTTTATCAAGAAACTAAATGAGTTATTTTATTCATACCTACTTGCATTATGCATTGCTACATGTATTAGCATAAATACAAATACGATTTTTAAATTATTTTTTTAAAAATAACATGCACTACCTACGATTTGAGGTATTCAATTCTAAACTTCAGTGAAAATACAGAGCCAGTATTTGTTTAATGTATATAATTTTCCAAAAATGTATATTAAAAGATCTTGGATGTTAGGAGGTGAAAATTTGATAGCTTAAAAACTTAATGTCAGCACTGTTTTGTAAAATATTCAGAATTGTATGACATTTTTCATTTCTTAGAAACCTACCTTATAAGAAATGACTAGAGCTCAGAAGTTTGGCAAAATACCTTTTTGTTATTATCACTACTTTGTGACTTTTAACAATGATAATCACTTAATTGTACTTCTGGAGTTGTTTTAGTAGATTTTTATTTTGCCTATTTTATCTACTGATGCCTATTTTTGCCATTTTGCCTTTTTATGGCTTGTACATCATTAGTTTGCTTTTTCTCTTCGGTCACTGATGTTGATTGAGCTACACACAAGCCTGCAACTCTCGACAACACGAAAGACAAAGTTGGAAGTTGAGGCTGAGGCTGTGTTAATAATCTAAATAAAATAAAAATATAAAACCAGTGAAGTTTTTTGATATTTTCATTGAGTCCCCCACACACACTTTCTTTACCCACAAGGAATCCCATCCTAACTTGAGGTCAGTCTCTGTTCCCATTTGAGGACAGTGCTTTGTATATATCTCCTTGTTAGTGCTGGCAGTTACAGAAGTGGGAAGAATTCAAAATTTAATTCTGTTTTCACTGATGCAGTTTTAAGAAAAAAAAAAGAGTCCCCAATAGCATTTCAAAGAGAGGATTGTGAGTAAAACAAATTTGTAGCCATCGTATTGGATAGTCAAATGAAATCAAGATTACAAAGAAAATATTGTTTCCTTACATGTTAAGTGCTAATATACTTTTTAGATTTAAAAATAAGTGAATAATTTTAATTATTTACTTTTTACAATAATTATTTTTAATCTGATTTTTAATTGTTTATATGCCTTTTGGCACCCCTACTTTAGGTAGAGTAAATTCCCTTGGATGTACATCATAGTACAAATAAATGCCTGAACATCTGGGTTCTAGTAATGACTGTAATGAACTATTTAAGGAAAAAAATTAATTGAAAATTTTAAGAAATATTAGACTACTGTACCAAATTATAAAATTACAATAACGATTTTCTCAATTTTTAATATTCTTTTTTTCTATTTTTTCCCCATCAGTCCCATCTTTGGGTTCCTTGACTTATTTGTCCTTGGGTGATCCCCTGGTCTGCCCATGACTAGTGCTGGCACTGACATAATGGTGACTGGATGCCTTAACTAATAGTTAATGCCATTAACCAATTGGACTGACTATTTGTTGGATTGAAAAATACAGTGGCAATTTTCAATGTGATTCAGCTCTAAGTTTTGATAGCTCTTTCAGATGATGAAACTTTTTAAGAAACACTAAAACGTCAATCAAAGTACTGTGCCGAAGTTACAGAAAACTTGTGTTTTGGTTATTATCTTTGTGCATTTGTTTGAAGAGTCAAATTTGAAAACTAGGGTCTGTTAGAAATCTTGCAAGCTTAAATAATTGAACATTGATCATTTGCAACAAGTTTCCTTGATGTGTGTGCAAGATTCACATTATTTTTGACACTTCTTCATAGCACCAGCCCTGAAGAAATGTTTTCAAAATTGAAGGAGATTAAATATTATTTAGGAAGTAGAATGGCATGAGACCATCTGTGTAATTTAAGTATTTTGTCAATTGAGCTAAAAAAAAAACAACAAAAAAAACAAAAAAAAAAAAAAACAATACAGTTAAAAAATGATATTTCTACCATCAATCATAAATTGTGAAGAAAAGACCCAAAATTTATATTATAAATGATATCATGAAATTACAAAAAATATAATTTATTTTTTGTAATAACGTGTATATAAATATAAATAAACAAAAATAAATGTTTGCACTCCAAAAATTCAGTTTATAATCACAAAATTTTTTTTATGACATGTCTTCAATGTGGCCCCTTATTTTGTCGCTAAAAGGCCCCATGCCATTTTGCTTGTGTTAATTAGTGCTTTTAGCACTATCCATCCAGAAGTAAAAAAGCTGATTTTGATAATATTTTATTTTTATTATTTACTACTAATAATTTACTAAATCAATGTCCATTACATTCATTAACGAAATATAGAGAACAAACCCCCATCTTCCATTATGTTGTACGAGAGTTCCAAACAATTTCGAAGTTCTGCAATTTTCTGGACAAAGTCCTATGAGTAGTTTAGATACCATAGACTGCCACTGCCAAAGATGGTTGATGTTCGCCTGACCCATGAAGGGTCTCATCGCACTGATTTCTTCTCTTGGTGTTTGGTTGCAGAGTTTGTTGAGTTCTCTCCTCTGCACAGGGACGGGGATCAGGATTCATAGACGGAAGGCCTAAAACAACACGCCTTTCACTACTTTCTGTTAAATTACGTACATTACCTCATAATGAGAAAGTAAAGTAGTTGTGCAACAACTGTAGAGTCTTTTTAACTTTCGCAATTTTTCGAGAATTCAACGAAAAGGAGCCATTGTTTTAAGTATTATGTACACTCTCCGAGGTACAAATTTTTAAAAGCTGTTTTGAGAATATAAATTGCATTATCGTTGTCCAGAAATTATGCGAAGTATTTTTTTAATTGTACAGAACCGTAATTGGCTTCCACAGAATTTCAATATTTCCCTTTTACTGCGTACTAGCGAGGCGAGAAAATAAGTATCAACCTATAACCAATAACCCCTGCAGAGTATGTAACTGGCAAAGCTTATTTGTACGACGGGTTGTATCCGCTCAGCAAGACCAAGCTCCGAGGAGCCATCGAATAAAAACTACACCACTGGTAGTGGTGCTCCAACAAACCTCGTATGGTTTATTACATTTTTTTAATTTAAACTCATATAATATTATATTTTACAAACTTTTTGGGCATGCCTTGGAAGAATTTTTGCATAATTCGGCTATTTCGTCATCTTCATTCAAACGTAATGACTACTCCACGAGTTGTTCCCTTGTTGTAGAATGTTTTGCCTTCACTTTGGTTTTAAGAACACTCCAAACTGTGATGGTTCTAATTTTTCATTAAATGAAATAAATCCACGAATGAGGAAAAACAGAAATATTTATCAGGGTCGATGATTTTACGGCATACACCGCAAACATGGACGAGATAACTTTACGTTTGAGTAAATAAAAAATTTTCAAAATTCAAATAAAATATAAAACATTTATTTACAATATTAAATAATACTTATAAAAGGAAATAATAACAAAGAGAAGAATTTTACATACACACACAAAAAAAAAGGATTCGTATTTTCAATATACATGTTCCAGCTGACATACACAAGTCATCAAATATTATTCATATTTTCCCAAATCTTCTAGCTCCTCCAAGACATACATTCTGTAAACTGAACATCGCCTTACATTCCATAGAGTTTCGTCATTCATCTGACCATTTATCACACTCCGTTCCCTAA